TTCAAATGAATACAAGTGTCACAAATTGGCACAAACTTATTAAACTTTCAAAATATGCAATAGCGGAAACAAAAAAAACAAAATGGCGGCTTCAAAATGGCGCTAATTTGAGAAAAAATTAATTAATTTTTTTTATAGTGCACCGATTCAGGCAATAGCTATGAAATGTAATAGAACTTAGTGTTTATATGTTTTTGAGGTCTCTCATCACGAATATGTACTCGGATTTTCAAAATTCAAAATGGCGGATCCAATATGGCCGACGAAAATTTTAAAAATTTACTCGATTCGCTTGAATTTTGTTACTCAGGGGTTTTAGAGGTCACTGATTGTGAATCTGCAATCGGATTTTCAAAATTCAAAATGGCGGATCCAATATGGCCGACGAACATTGTAAAAATTCACTCTATTCGCTTGAACTTTGTTACTTAGGGGTTTTTGGGGTCGCTGATTATGAATCTGCTATTGGATTTTCATAATACAAAATGGCGGATCCAATATGGCCGACAAAAATTATTTAAATTTACTAGATTCGCTTGAAACTTGTTACTCAGGGGTTTTTGGGGTCGCTGATTGTGAATCTGCAATCGGATTTTCAAAATTCAAAATGGCGGATCCAATATGGCCGACGAACATTGTAAAAATTCACTCTATTCGCTTGAACTTTGTTACTCAGGGGTTTTTGGGGTCGCTGATTATGAATCTGCTATTGGATTTTCATAATACAAAATAGCGGATCCAATATGGCCGACAAAAATTATTTAAATTTACTAGATTCGCTTGAAACTTGTTACTCAGGGGTTTTTGGGGTCGCTGATTATGAATCTGCTATTGGATTTTCAAAATACAAAATGGCGGATCCAATATAGCCGATAAAAATTGTTTAAATCAATTCTAGTTGCTTGGAATTTGTAAAATGATGACCATCTATTTGCCGTCAGAATAAGGCAAAATACAAATCAAATCCCTCAGAAGTACACAACGAAAAAATTGTAGGTCTAAATCTAATTGGCTTAGATAAATTGTTTAAATTGTTTGTTTGTTGCTTAGCATAAGACTTAATATTGCAAAACTTATAACCTGACATTGTTAATGAAACAATTTGAGATGACAGATAAGGAGTAGTTGACCAATATTATCGAATTTTAGCTTTAATATCATTAGAATAATTTAGAGAGTTGGTAAACGTCTTATTCTGACGGCAAATAGATGGTCATCATTTTACAAATTCCAAGATACTAGAATTGATTTAAACAATTTTTATCGGCCATATTGGATCCGCCATTTTGTATTTTGAAAATCCAATAGCAGATTCATAATCAGCGACCCCAAAAACCCCTGAGTAACAAGTTTCAAGCAAATCTAGTAAATTCAAATAATTTTTGTCGGCCATATTGGATCTGCCATTTTGTATTATGAAAATCCAATAGCAGATTCATATTCAGCGAAACCCAAAAACCCCTGAGTAAAAAAGTTCAAGCGAATAGAGTGAATTTTTACAATGTTCGTCGGCCATATTGGATCCGCCATTTTGAATTTTGAAAATCCGAGTACAGATTCGTGATGAGAGACCTCAAAAACATATAAACACTAAGTTCTATTACATTTCATAGCTATTGCCTGAATCGGTGCACTATAAAAAAAATTAATTAATTTTTTCTCAAATTAGCGCCATTTTGAAGCCGCCATTTTGTTTTTTTTGTTTCCGCTATTGCATATTTTGAAAGTTTAATAAGTTTGTGCCAATTTGTGACACTTGTATTCATTTGAAAAAAATGTTTTCAGTAAGAAATAATTATTTTAAAAAAAAATTTCATTTTTTTCGCAATTTGGTGCACAAAATTCGCCATATTTAATTTTCTATGCGATAAATTTAAAATCTGAGCATGGAATCTTGTAGAGCGACCCCGAAAACATAAAGAAACGCTTCAGTTATTTTTAGGGAGCATGTTTAATATATAAAATTATATCTTAAATTAAACACAACATTTCAAAGGTTTCAGGCGTTAATGGGTTAAACATAAAAAATTATCCCTTCACTTGCCCAAGTGGCTACACACTTCCGTCAAGGTTGTAAATTTCTCTATGTTTAGCAATAACAGGATAAATCTTTTTTTTGTTCCTCTTTTTCCTCTTTTACTTTTACAATTAGTTTTGAATTTCAAATAAATGCTCCCTGTTTAGGCATAGGTAGTACGAAAATCAAACTCTACTAACAACAGTACGGGGAGACTGTGGTCCGTTGTGAGATGTATGATTAAATTCAATATTAATTAAAATTTTACATTTAATTAATATTGTATTGTTTCGTTTTTGAACAAAATTGCTGAATATTCACTGCTAACGAAACTTTCGTTTTCGCTTGAAGAAATAAATTCTAAGCGTCCGTGAAAGTCGAGCGTATGAATGGTACAATATGCTTTTTTAAAGGAATTAAAAAATACATATAACTCACTTCAGTAACTTTGAGGATTTGGTTAAATAAAATAAGATGGATAGATGATGATTCTGGAGCATTAATTTACTTTATTTTTTTTTATTATTTTTTTTATTAATTACGTATTTCTACACCTTGTTAAAATTCGCAAAGTAAGCTATAAATTCTTTATTATTTATTTTTTATAATTTTTTCATAAAAACTCTTAGATTTTTTTTTATAAAAAAACTTTAATTAAACTTGTATTTTAGTACCCGTAACCTATGGGGAATTTTAATTTTTGTAATTTAAAACAAAGAATTTAATTTTAATCCTCTCACTTGCCCAAGTGGCTACACACTTCCGGCAAGGTTAAGTCAAGGAAATGGGCGCGATTTATTGAAGAAACCAGAGCCTGCCGACGCAAGGGTAGTTACTTTTTCTATGTTCGACGTTAGCGAACAAAAAAAATCTCTTTTACCGCACTTTAAAATTCGTATATATTTTTCTCCTGTGAAGAAACAGATAGATAATTTTATATAAAATAGATAATCAATGCATATCAATATGTATATATCTAAATTTCTCATAAAATATATTAACCTTTTTGTATTAATGTGTATAGTGTAACCCTGTATGTAAAATTTAACTTTATATATGTCTTTTAAATTTATTTTTTTTTAATTATTAATTATTTTCTAATTTTTCTATCTTCTCTTTCTTTCAAAGAATAAAGAGAAAGAATCCCACCGCTGCCACCAGTTTGTTAAAGTAGGATTTTAGAAATTTATTTAATTTGTAAATATTAATTTTTAAAAACTTCAACTAACGTGTCCTTCGGACGAAAATCGTATAGGTAGTGGATTCCCCCTCTACTTAGTTATTAATTCAACTAAGAGGTTGAGAACCCTACTCCTTGAATTTGGAGAAGATAGGATAGTTTTATAAGGTATTTTAAATTAAATAGAAACAATAGATTTCAGACAAACGTTAAGTATATTAAATCCCAAAAATCCCTAATACATGAAATATCTACTTTCTGTCCTTCTGAATGAAAGAAAGTGTAGTGTGTGTAATAAGAGTAGTATGTGTGTGGTGTGTAACAAAATACAATACTCACAACTGGACAATTCTGCTTACTAGTCACTTCATTCCAATGTTAATCTTCTTGGTTTTTCTCAATATTTCTTACGTAAGCTTTTCCCGGAAATTCGGAAATACCAGATCTAGGATCACTAGATCGATATTTCACTAGGAGCTTTTTAGACGCGAACTTTTGAATTACACAATTTAAGGACGTGAAAACTAATTGAACAAAGTTGTTTCAAGATTTAAATATTCCTTTATTATGAATTTATTCTTTTTGCTGACTTTGATTTTTAATTAAATACTTATTTTTCTCTTCGATTAATTTTCTGATATTATTTCTTTCACTTTATTTTTTTACTTGATTTTGTTTTAGCTTCTTTTTAGATAATTATTTTAACCACTTGTTTTCAATTTAAATATGATATATTTCTTTTACTCAACTTCAATCTTTAATTAATATGCGCGATTACTTTGATTATTCACTTTCTATCTAAACTTTTATTCCTTTACTTTTTTGAGAAAATTCCCTTCTTCAGGGATATGAACTTTATCTGATCTACACGATCTACTCGGCCAAATTGCCGGACTTGAACTTCAGGCTACAATGGCCTGGACTAAAACTGCGGGCCTAAACTGCCCGGGCTAACTGCCGGGTACAACGGCCTGGCTTAAACTGCCCAGATTTCCCAGTGTCAATCAATTTTATTGAAAGACGATTTAGTGGGGAAATCGTTTGTTAAGTTTATTGCACTTGACCGTTGTCGAGCCAATTCTGCAAGCTTGCAGATCTAGGCAGTGGCGTGATCCGAGTTCAGTGACTTTGATGCACCACTCCTTATATTGGGCAATTGACATATTTTAGTATTTCTTAACTATTTCTCGAAAGCAAAGTTAATAAACTCTTCAGAATAGAAAAAGTATAAATAAAGGAATTTTACAATTTATTTTAGATTTCTATCCTTGAATTGTGCATTATAATTATAAAATATTATTTTATTACTTTGAATGTTTGTTTTTGACAACTTGTTTCAAAGTACCAAAATAAAAGAATGTTCCTTTTGAGAGTTTACAAAGGGTTATTTGTGTAAATGTTTAAGATGTGTTAACAAAATCTCATGTTGCGTGTAATTGTTGAATGTAATTTTAGTTTTAAATATAATTAAAAAAGTTATTAACAATATAAAAAGTTACGGAGTTCGGCCGTAACAATTATTATTGATATTCTTTTAACTTTTTGTCATCTACGTAATAATATTTTCAGGAAATTTAAGGTTGTCGACTTTTGGAAATTTCTTTATTTGATTACCCAGTGTTCCCGAATATTTTGTACAAAATATCTTTTAAAATGAAAACAAATTCTTGGGATTTGATTACATAGGATGGATTCTCGAAAAATCCACAGAAATGATGTAAGAAGTTATTTGGAATCATCCTACGTTAAATTTTCCGAAAATCTCCAGAAAATCTTTTACATGTATGACAAACAAATACGTACTATATACTGCATTTCGGACTTTTTCGGGGATTGCTTTTCCCGGTTTACCGACTCTTGAGTGTCCAAGAGCAGTCATTGTTTTTAATTCTTCTTTGCCTACCAACTCCAGCATAAGTCTTCTTACCATTTCCTCGGGTCGTTTTTGAAATCTCGTAAATTCTATTTCATTTGTCTTTGAGATAACAATTTCGTCATTTATAATCTGGACTTTCTTTGATTCAATGTTGGGCAGCTGGTTTTCTATTGCACTTGTAGATGTATTAATGCCCAATTTTCCTTCTACATATGACGCAAGTGACTTTAAAAACTGTACGATTTCTTGAGTTACTAAAATATAAATAATTCTATTTATTACAATTATTCATAATTTTTTTCATCGTGAACTATATTTTAAATTAGTGACGGTTAAATTATTCTATAAATTGACATTTAAATTTGACAGGTGTTAAGAAAATAAAAGTAAGTTTCCACATAAAAGTACTTTTCACTTATAAAGTTAAAGTTAAATTTTTAAATAGAGCCGCGCCTTCAGAAGGACTTTGACGATTTTGGTTATTTTCAATATCAAAGTTCATACTTTCACCTTTAAAAATATTTTTTGTTTAATTATAAAGATAAAAATGTGAGGAAATATGGTTAACTTAATTTGAGGAGGTTTAAAATGTGCACACCAGGCTATTAAACTTCATGTAAGTTTATTACTTAGTACTAGCAGAGCTACGCGCGCTAAAGCGCGCGCGATATTTCTGTTTCTGTCTTTTGATACTCAAGACCTTATTTTATTGTGTGTATATAAAAATGTAAGACCTTATGATTCGTTTTTTTCTTTTTCTAAAATATTGGAAAAAGATTACAATTTTTTTTTGAAGAATTAAAAAACATAAAACACGAAAACCAAAAATTAAATTTAACACACTGAGCTATATTGTAAAATGTTTATAAAACGTTAAGGTAATTACAGATTTTTTCCAAGATAATAGAAAGGTTTTTTCGCAAATAGAATTAACATTACCAATTTGTTGAAATTTGTACCACTGTTAGATAAAAGTTTTTAAAAAATGTAGTTAAATTTTTTAGACCTGTTGGGACTTGTGAAAAAAGCTATAAGCGTCTTTGTTTTTAACTTTTAACATTGAGTTTTGTGGGAATTGAGTACATTTTCAAACATATTTACTCACCACAAAGTACTTAAAATTAAGAAATTAATAAAACATTTTTTAATACGAGACAGATATATAATGGTTAAATATCTGTTTAAAAAGTGTCATTAGGTACCTGTGAGAGTTGCAATAAATTAATTTGTAAAAAAATTTCATGTTTTATACAGTATATTGGACAGCTGTTTGAACATCTGGAAACATTGCACACAATTTTCTACTCAAAACTAAATGTAAACAAGTCATACCAAGCATTTGCAACACGACTAAAGAAATGCTGTGTTGCCAGACGTTTCAAAGTACCAAGCAAGTCAAATTACAAAATAATGGTTTTTGTTTTGATTAGTTCAGTCAAGCGATAAAAAAACTTTATATATATTAATTATACATCAGAAGAATTATTTTATTGAAGTATTCTTCCTTCTTTGTCAAAACATTGACACCGAGATTTATTAATAGTCATGATATAAGTCGAGGTATAAGCCGTCCCTAAACCACGAGGACAATTTTTTATTAATTTTTGACCCTCCCCCCATCCAATATGGAACACAAATTTTTACTTTATGCAATGGACCTTAATTTTGTCACTCGGCGGTTTTTAGGGACGCTGATTACGAATTTGATGTAAGTTTTCATAAATTTAAAATGGTGTATTCAATATGCCAGAATTTTCTTTTAGATTTATGCAGTTGACCTTAATTTTGTTACTCGAGAGTTCTAATACCAGTCAGTTAGCTGTAAATGTCATAGGAGCGCTCACTGACAATTATTTTAGCACTTGCGTCGATTCACGACCAGCGAGCGTGTATAGAAATTTTTTTTTAATTTCTCTTTCCCATATTATATTAGTCATTTGAAATTTTGAAAACAAACATCGCATTCGTAATCAGCGACCCTAAAAACCACCGAGTGACAAAATTAAGATTAATTGCATAAAGTAAACATTCTGTTCCATATTAGATCCGCCATTTTGATTTATGGGAAACTAAAATTGAATTCGTAATCAGCAACCACAAAAATTCCCGAGTGACAAAATTAAGGTTTATTGCATAAATTTTAAAAAATTTTGTTCTATATATTAAATCCGCTATCTTGAATTTCTTAAAAATAACATTAAATTAGTAATCAGCGACCCCAAAAGCCTTCGAGTAGGAAAACTTAGGCGAATTTAATTACATTTTAGTATTTTGAAAAATAGTCACCACCCCTTTCAAAGTTCCCTTCATATTTTAGGCCATATTTGGTCCGCCATCTTTAAATTTTACATTCTAATTTACTTTTTTTAAAAGTATACAATTTTTGTGCCTCTATGGATGAGAATTGAATATTATTCACGCACGTTTAACTCCTTAGCAGAGTAGTCAAAATAAAGTTTTCGTGTCACAACTTTGCTAAATTTTTTTATTTCTTTTAATGCCAGATATCATTATATTTTATGTTTTTGAGGTTACTGAATCCAAATATTTGGATGGGTAAATGGGTAAAAAAAATAACCAAACTTGAAAAAATGAAATTTCTTTTCTGTTTTTAAAGATAAAACCGCTATATTTAATTTTTGTTTTAAACGAAATTATTTTTTTTCACCCCGGAATCGAAAAGAGCACACTCAATACCTATAAGAAACATACTTGCGGTATAAAATATAATCTGTTTTATTCATAAAAGTATAGGTTGAATTTGCGCAAAGAGTTTTCTTATTTTAGGCGTTAATGGGTTAATCATTAAAATAATATTATAATATTTGGGGAGAGTGGGACAAACCGTCCAGATGTCAATATCTCCGAAATGGCAAGATTGTCAAAACTGTTGTTTAGAATTTCAAAACAACCATGTGTAGTATACCTTATTTTTAAACTAACATTTATACTCAAAATGAGCGTATGGGGCAAACAGTAATAATTTCAATAAGTTAAAATTTGACTAGTTCCCTTCTTAAATTATTCTCTTTATGTAAATAGTAATTTTTTCTATAATTATTGAAATACCAGATTTTCTGTCTTGGTAGTTAAGACTTGCAATGCAGATATCAAGTTTTCTTGCACTTTCTTTCTTCTTTTCTAGACGTTTCGAGGAACCATGGCTACTTTTTTCGTAATTCGATGACGTTGTCGCAAAAGGTTCTATTGGTGCACTAGTATCTTTATATAAAAAAAAAGTTTGCAATCTTATAATCGAGTCAGTCAAAATATAAAATAAATGAACTAAAAAGAGTTGTAAAAATGAAAAGGTTTTTTTATTTTAAGTAAATTAAAATTTTTTTCACTTATATTAAATTCTTATTTCCCTAAAAATTCATGTCGGGAAACATGTTTTTCATAATTTTCTCATTACCAGGAATTTGCGGTTTTTATTAATTTATCGATAATTAAACTGATAGATTTCATTGGTTCTTTAAAAAAATAAAAAGGGCCCATTTTGTCGGTCATTTGCAAAAAAAATCCTTATTTTAAAAATGGAGGTGTAATTGTGTAATTGTCGAAATAAAAATTTGTATATTGCATCAATTTTTTCACAATAAAGACTGTCAAAAAATTTTAAATAAGATTAATATCTATTCTTTTTCTTTAAATGACACAATAAAATTGTACCTAATCATTAATCTTGTAAAAATATTATATTAAGCAACAAAGGTATAAAGGCAGCCATTTGTTTACGGTGATTTTTGTGACATGAGTCGAGGTCGAGGGCGCCCCGAGACCTCCACTCCTGTCACAAAAATCATCGTGAACAAATTGGCTGCCTTTATTCCCGTATTACATACGATATTTTTTATTTCTAATGCACAAAAGTGTCGATTTCAGATAGCAGACGACAGGGAGTAAAAGTCATTCACTTGTTCGACTTGTATGAAAATGGCGGCCTTTTTTACCTTGGGCAAAAAAAGCATGGGACCAACTGTTTTTTTGCCCTTGGAAAAAAATCGCTATTTTCATACGGTCGAACAAATAAATGAGTGTTCAAAACAGACAAAAAGAAGGCTTTTTTAGTATATATTATTAAAATAACTATTACATTTATTTAAAAAATTTCTTTTACATGTAAAAAATAATTTATTTAAGAATTTGTAAGAAAAAATTTTTCATTTTTATTTCAAAATGGCGGCGCTATACGCCATTTTTGAAAATGCCCATTCTCGGTGGTAAGATCGATTCCAAACTTTCTATAACAGATAAAACCAAAAACGAAGTGGCATTCTCTTTGTTAGATATTTCATTAGGTGTGGAACCTCAAAAAAGTGGAATTTTCTCCCCCCCTTTTTTTAGAGTACTTTTTCTCTAAAATATGCAAAAAAAGGTGTTTTTATTCAGAATTTCCCTTATAAAATAAAGAGAGTTGGAAATTTTCCAGTTTTTGAGGTTTCACTTATAGGCATGATGACGCTGAATCAAAAGCCTTTTGATTTTTTAAAATCGCTTTAGAAGAACTCGAGATATCACTCTTTCCAGATCAAAAAAAGACATTTTGAGAAAAACGCATTTTAAGTTTTTGTTTATAAGTTTTGAAATTTAAAAAAAAAATCATCGGATTTGCTTGAAAATCGTTACTAGGGGGTTTTTGAGGTCGCTAATTACGAATATGGAATCAGATTTTTAAAATTCAAAATGTCGGATCCAATATGGCGGACATTTTTTTCAAAATCATTGAATTTGCTTGAAAATCGTTACGGGGGGTTTTGGGGTCGCTGATTACGAATATGACATAATTTTTTAAAAATTAAAAATGGCGGATACAATATGGTGAACGAAAAAAAAATTAAACGAAAAAAAAATTAAAATAAAAAAATTTTCTTTTCCGCCATGTTGGATCCCCCATTTTAAATTTTGAAAATTTTTATATCTAATTTTTGATCAGCAACACCAAATACATTTTTGTTTGTCTTTTTTAAAAAATGCAAATGAGAAAACATTTAAATCATACGATTGCTTATCCGCATACAAAAACATCTTTGAAATGGCGAAGAATAAGGATGTATAATTTTTGTTTTACTTCGAATTTTGCAATATTATTTTAGGAGAGTATTCTTGACACTATAAAAAATCCGCCATTTTGAATTTAATTTTAATTAAAATTTTCGAAATTATGTGTCAAATGCTTAATAAATAAAGCATTAACTAACAAATTGAAACCAATTCAACGCATGTAACGCGGCAGTGCAACCGCCCGTGAAACTGCACGCTCCATGTCTTTTTTACAGCGCGTAACAGGCTTAAAAAACCATCGGTACACTTCAGAAAGCCTTACCCATTGTTCGAAGATAATTGAATCTTAAATAATTATACGAATTAGTTTTTTAAAATATTTGCGATTGTTCACAACTGGAGGCGGGGCGAGAGTCAAAAATTGATAGAAAATTGTCCATTTGGTTTATGGAACAACGATAAAATTTATACCTCTCACTCATACCTCGTTCTCGATCTGCCATTCTTTTACTCCTTAATCTATCTGTGAGTGAAAAATGAAAAATAATTAGCCAATAAGGAAATAAGACGCCCATTTCGTATTTTGGCTTGAGAGTAAAATTCCCAACTTTTCCTTCCCCTATCAAATTCTGTTCCTCTCTTTCTACCTAACACGGAAAATGGAGAAAACATGGTACCCCCTTCTAAACCCAAAAAGTGGGAATTACTTTCTTAACTATTCGTCTCTCTTTCGCTCCTACTCTAAACTAAAAGGAGAGACAATACCTCCCTCCCTCTCTTTCTCTCTCACTGTGAACAGAGTATATAAGGAAAGACTAACTTAATATATATAGATATAATAATATTTGCCTCTCTTTCGCTCCTACTCTAAACTAAAAGGACAGGCGATACTTACCTCTCTTTCTCTCTATCAACAATGTTTTTTTAATTATTTTAGTTTACGATAGAAAATAATTAAATTGGAAAATAATTGTAACAAACAGTTTTACCAGTTTTTAAAAATATATTTATAAAAGTAATTTAATCCTTCGAGAGAATGTTATTATATATGAAAATAATAAGCAGTAATAATTAATTATTTACTTAATAAGTAATAAAAATTAATTTTGTTCAAAGAATAAATAAATATAATTTATTTTAACATTCAGAATTTAAATTAATAAAAATTTAAGATTAGTTTTATAATTATAAATATTGAATAATAATATAATTTTTATAAAATGCTTTTAGAAGCAAAAATTGATTCCATTAAAAAACTTTAATTGCGTATGTTTTTTTAAATTAACTGATAAAATTTTTAATCATTAATCTTGGTCCCTAAGAAATATTAATACTTTAGAAATGTAACTCTTTATAAAATTCAATTATTAAATTAAAATACTTTGAAAATTCTTTGCGTTAAGAAGTTTGTAATGAAATTCTTTAACAAATTTAATTATTTTCAGTTCTGAATTTTACAAAATTTCTATTAATTCAATAATTTTTTTAAAATTTATTTACATATTATATTTGAATCAGTGTTTGATTTTTCACTATCAAATTAATTATTTTCAACTAATTCAAATTTAGAGAACAGAATAAATATTTATAAAAATTGAAATAAAAAGCAATTTTTTAAAAACAGTTTAAAATAACAATTTTTTTAATTTGATGACAAATTCCCGGTTTGACATAAAATTCCCGATTTTTCTCGGTCAAATTAAATTCCCGACTATTTCCCGGTTAGTAGACACCTTGATTAAGGATTTAATTGAATAGTGAATTTCAAAAAGGCTGAATTTGGTTTTTTGAAATTTTACAGTGACTTGGAAAAAATTGGTATTTTAGTTGTCAGAGTTGACCCCTTTTCGAAATTAAATAAAAAAATTAAATCGTTTTAATCATTAAAATATATCAATTAAATGTTTTATTATCCAGAATCAATTTATTTTTTTTTTAAATACTATTTTAATAAGTACTACTATTTTAATAAGTAGTAGAGAAATCAAACTTTAACTTGGTTTCTCTAGTTATTCTGTAATTATTAAAGTTTATTTCAGCACTTGTATAATTTTGTAAATAATTCTCTTTATGATAAAAAAATGTCTCTAAATCAAAACTAAATCATTTTTATGATTTTTAGGTCAAGCAAAAAATTACCTTTTGAGGTACTTGGTTGAAGAATTTCAACCCCTTTTTTTCCCCTCAAATTTGCAATTTTATTTCCTGAGTTAACGTTAATTTCCCTTCCATTTTTGTTCGAGTCATGCCCTGTAAAAATATTTAATTTTTTAACAAACAAATGATTCTCAAAGTATTTATAATTTCAAAAATAAAGCGAATGGATATTATTTAACAGTTTTCTTATAAATACCTTCCGCGATTTTGGATTCTAAAACTTCTGTACCCTCGATAACAATTTCAGTTTCTGAATCTTCATTTTCTGAATTATCACTTTGAGAACTTGCAATTTCCCTTTGTTCTTGGTTGTCGAACTCAGCTTCTTTCTTCTTGCTTTCTGGCTTACCTCCTTTAAAAACATTTTGTAATTATTTTTCACATTTATATCAAATATTAGTTTGCCAAGTGCGGAATCTTTCCTTGAGATTCTAGTGAAAATTTCCAATAAAGAAGACAATTTAAGCTTCCAGAAAGCTTTTTAAAAATTTATTTTTCAAAAATATTGTAATATAATTTTATTAAAATAATTGGATTTTCTTCAAAACGGAAATGTGTAATGTATTCAATACGGAAATATGTATAATTAAAAACATTGAATATAATTGAATTTAATAAAGTAAGATTGAGAAAATTCTAAGAATTACTTTTTACAATAACATATATTAATAAAATTTTTACTAGTTAATAAACAATATTTTTACACTTTAAAATTTTCCATTGAAATTTTTAAAATGTGTTATTTTGTTGCAACCAAATTTGAAAAATTAATTAATATCCAAGGCCTGTTTATCTGATTTCAAATTAAATGCAATTAAACAAACTATAGATGCAGATATATACAGATTTTGCAATCAAAATAACCTTTTGAGACTCTTGGTTTAGGAACTTGAGCTGAATTTTCGTCTTTCCCAGCTGAAATATTCTCATCTGTTTGGAATGTTGATTTTTTCTTGAGATTTCCGTGGTCCTTCTCGTTCTTTCTTCTCGATTTACCTGCTTTAAAAATATTTCTAGATTATTATTTGTAAGTTTATTTAATTATCTAAAAGTTTCGATTCATAATTTATGTAATCATTTGAGTTTTTTAGAACATATGTTTGATATTTTAGTAATCTAATAGTTATTGTATTTTAATTATTAATTAATTTTGCTTTTTTTATTATAAGTTTTCCATTTTTTTACAGAATTTTTATTAAACATTACTTTTAAAATAATTTTTGTAAAACAAAGAATATAAACAATTTTATTATAAAACTATATAAATTAAAAATTTTTTTAATAATGATTTACCCTTTTCCTTCGAAGTTGTATGCGCACTAATCATAGTTGATATCGAATTCAATTTGTTTATTTCGTCGTTGACTTTATTTTGAACTGCATTTCTTTCCTTATTTCGAATTTTTGCTCCTTGACATGACATCGTTTTTCTTCGAAGCAGTTTTTGGTGGAATTTTCAAATTATTTATTATTTTTCCTTCCTTTAAAACTTCCAAAGACATTAATTACTTCCGGTCTTCTAAAATATTGAATTTTTAATTAGTAAATTTTAAATTAAACTTATTCAAATTAAATATAAATAAATTAAAATAAATAATTTAACAAAATAGAACATTTTAAAGGGTAAATAGTATGTTTAATAATAATCTATATTAATAATCGTTATATTCCAGTAATCTTATTGCAATTTTAAGTAAGTTATTTTTTTTTACTTTTTGTGTCCCAAATTTTTTGTAATTTTTCTATTTTAAAATGTTTTAAATGTTGAAATTAATGAAATTCTAACATAATGCTTTGAAGATTAAAAATAACAAAAATTAAATAAAGAAAATAGTATTTAATCTGAAATTACAATTCAATTTGTAACTTTATTTTAACATTCTCGAACATAAAAATATTTATAAAATATTGTAGAAAGACTAATTTTTAATACTGCAAAATACAATTAATTAAAAATGTAATAAAATTTTTTTTATTTTGAAATTACAAAAATGACAATTTATACATTGAACTCATAAGGCTAAGATTTATTAATTGAATCCTTCAAAGAATTATATTCAAATTTTTATAAATAATTGTTTGTTTTAGCAATTTTACTAAAGGTTTAAAAAATAATTTAATTATATTAAGAAATTATATTGAATACACATTTTTTTTAAAAAAATGAAAAATTCTCTGGAAAAATTTAGTCGAAATCGTATTGATATAATAATTGAATTCTTAAACAAATTTTATTGCAAAATTTCTATAAATAATTACATTTCATGAAGAAGTGTTAAAAATAATGAAATTATTTCAAAGAATTTTATTAAAATTTAAAAAATTAATTCAATTTTATCAAGAAATTTACATAATTCTAAAAGTTAAACCATAGCAATTTTTATTTATAATTTATTATTAAATTATATTATTATAATTATATATTAATATAATTATATTATTATTCAATTATTTAATATACAATTGATAAACTAAATTTAAAAATTCATTTTGATAAAACAATATTTACCACTTCTTGCCAAAATTACAGCCCTGTACGCTACTCCTTCTTCGAATATTTCAGTCTCCTCTCCATCGGGAATATTTTTTGAATCCTCTGATTCTTCGTGCACACTATAACACTGATCTTCGCACCATAAAATTAGGCAAAACATTTTTTTTGTTGAAGACATGTTTCTCGTAATCAGTCTTTTACACTGAATGTCATGTCAATAAACTGAAGTTTGACCATTAATTCAATGCAGTGAAAATACCAAAAAAAGTATTAAATATTTTCAAATTTATTTGAATAAAAATGTATCTATCCATGCACAGGTATTTTAAAATTATTTATATTTTTGCTTTTCTTTTTTCAATTGTCAATTATATTCAATTTTGTAAATATTTCTATAATTAAATTAAAGTAAAATAAAGTTTTTTTCCTAAATTCATTTTTCAACCTTTTTGTTTTTCACTTTTTTAAATTGAGAAACGATTTTTCATTACGACGACAAATGTGTCATATGATATAAAAAAATAAAATTGAAAATAAAAAGTGAAATATTTTTTTAATGACACTAATAAAAAAAGAAAAAAAATAATTCTTTTTTTTACGCATGAAATAAAAAGTATATTTTAACAGAAGTAATTATAATTAAAAATTAAGAATGAGTCGATATAAAGATTTTCATAATTACTCACAATCAACACGAAATAGAATTCTACAAGAACTGCGGCATGAAGAAAATATTTCATCGAATTCAGTAAGATGATTTATTATTTCCATATATCTCAGCAATTTCATAAAAGTAAAAATAATAATAAATATATTTTATTGTTTTCAAAATATATACTTTTAGTAGAATAGAATAATGAACCCTTGAATAATAATTAATTAATAACTTAATGAATAATAAACATTTAAAAATACAATTTTTTGTTTCATGTCCTCTTATAACCATTATATATATTTTGTATTTTCCCGTAGTTTATTTGATTTTTATCAAGTAAAATTATTGCAATATAGTTATAGTATTGAATATAAAAATTTTGTGTTTTTTAATCGGATAAAAAAAATTCTCTCAAATTTCTTAATTATTGAGTACATTTGAATATTAAAAATGAATTAATTATAGTAAGTATAAAATTTATTCAGTAAATATAAAAACTTATAACTTAAACAAACTATATAATGTTTCTTCTTACTGAATTTAGTAATTTAAGAAATTAAATAAATTGTTAACGATTAATATATTGAAATTTTTTTGACTTTTTCCTGATTTTTATAAAAAATATTCCCCTTTTTTCTTATCTTGGTAATAACTGCAATTCAAAATTTGATAGAAATTCGTGTAATTTTATTCGATAAAACGGGTATAGTATTCTATAAGAATATTCCATACAAAAAATTCGTATGGAATATCTACGGTAATATATCTACGATCAGAAATTACACATTCAATTTTTCTGAAGAAATTCCTCTAGTAATTTATTAGGATATCCCCATGTAATCCCAGGTGTAAATTGACGACTGGTGGGAATTTTCTTAACAATATCGTTAGAATTATAATATTGTGACATGCTGCGAAGAAATATGCTAAAAAATCATTTTTTATTAACCAAAAAGATTAAAATTTATCAATATGTTTATCTATATAATTATGTGTTAATACAAATACTGTATTCTAATATTGTTTTTATGCATATTCTATTTGTTTACAAAATCTATTATTGCAAAATCATAAAATTTTTTAATAAACAAAAAAATTATAAAATTTTTGACAACTTTCTTTTTTTAGGTTTACTTATTATTAAATCAATAAATTAAAGACAATATTTAGAAAGTTTGTAGTTTTTTCCTAACTTTGCAATTTACTAAATCTTATATGCGATTACAGATAAATAGGAGAAATTGAATAATGATATAAACCATTTTTAAACATTTTATTGTTGCTATTTAACAAATTTTTAAAAAATGCACCCAGAGAGTTCTAGTTTATTCCCAATTTTGAAATTGACTAAACTTTATATAATTTCAAATAAAAATTAAGAATTTAATTATTATTCAAACAATTATTTGTTAAGAATAAAAATTTATAGTGCTCAAACATACTTGAACACGTACACAAAGTTTTAACAATGAAACCTCCCAGTTTCGAATTCCGACTTTTCCACCTAGGATGTTAAGTATAACATTTTTTATAAAAATTTCTGATCATTTTTCCAAACTGCGGACAATATTTAGTTTTTTTGTCCAAAATTTTGGACAATAACTAAGTGAATTACGAAGTTTTTTCAAATAGTTTAATTAAAATTTTATAGAAATTATATTTAAATTTTAATTAACTTAATTTTTTTTAATTATAATTTTTTATTTCAATTTCTTAATTTCGCATGTTATGTTTACTATAAAATGTTTTTTAAAAATTTTCGATTAGTTTTCCAAACGAATTATTTTCATCTGGGCTTAAAAAAATTTTAATTACAATTTTTCAAAAAAATTTTTTTTTATAATTTCTAAATTAAATTATTATTTATAACTTGAATAATTTATTTTTAAATAAATAGTTTAATATGTTTATGTAAAAGGTATAAAAATATATGAGAATTTAAAATTACTTTCTCTCTCATTATTTTTTCATGTGCAATGATAATTCAATTTATGACGTCAGATTAACAAATGAAACTCTTAATTAGTAACCTACAGTAACCAGTGTTATTTCTTTGCGATTACTTAAATCTGAAAATGAGTGACGAAAATTGTACACTAGAACAACTTAAGGAGAAAATCTCCAAATTAAATGCGGAGATTGAATCATTAAAGAATAGTAAGTAGATAAAATTAAATTTAATCAAATGAAATCTATGCTTATTTTTAAAAAAATAATTATGTTGTTCTTTTCAGCAAATGACATATTCATGGACTCTGACATACTGTCAGAAAGCAGGGATAATAAAACGAATAAGAGAAAGAACAGTAAGTTCTTAAATATAAAATTGTTGGTTAATAATAATTTAGTACATATTCTTTATACATTGGAAAAGGAAAATAATTTTTAGAAATTTTTTTGAAATATGTAGCTAAATAGTGAAATTAATTTTTTATTATTATCAGAAATAAATATAAAGTAAAGTGAAGTAATACACCTATCTCTTATAGATGAACGTGATCAACAAAAGAAGAGAAATAGAATGGTTTGGAGTGGGCAATGGGTGAATTCGAACGTGGAAAATAGCGTATCGTTAAATAAAGAGGAACAGAAAAAAAGTTATTCTTTATTAACCTTTAATTTACAAATTCCACAGAAAATTTCAACGAGTATTATTTTTTATAACAAAATATATAATTTATTTATTTATTATTAAAATAATAATAATTATTATTATTAATAAAATTGCTTAAGAACCGTTTTATAAGAATATTGATAATAATATTTAGAGGCAATGTGGGAATTGTTTGAAGGATTACATTAGCGAAACTAAAAGACACGTATTTAATAGAATCAAAGAGCATGAAAGAGACATAATTGGTAAATTAAAAAATACTGGTTTGTCTACTCATGTTTATGATACTAAACATTCTTTTGATTTCAAAAATGTAAAAATTTTGGATACAGAAACTAACGAATTTAAAAGAAAACATCTAGAAATGCTACATATTCAAAATAACAAATCTAATCATGTTAATTTTTATACAGATATTGATAAACTAAGTAAAATTTATTTTCCATTAATACAATCTTTACATTAAAAATAAATAAATTAAAATAAATATATTTTTTAAATTTAAATTAAATTAAATTCCCGCTTAACGTAATATATGATATATGATATATATAATTCCTACTTTATCATTTTTAAACTTAATCTGTGGAGTTTTTTTAAATTAACCTAAAAATTTGAATGTTTCTCACATGGTGATCATTGTAACGTTCACCATGATTTTTAATATAATGGCTTTTACCATGAATATTTTTACCATGGACTTTTTTACCATCATGGTTTTTGGGAAAATTTTAAATTTTAACCTTTTGTTATATGATTATTAATGTGATTGAACACAAGGTGAGTTTTCTCTCTTTTAATTTGTTTTTTTTTAAATTTTTTCAAATTTGTTCTCTTTGGTGACAATTAATATCTTATAATGATTTTCATTACAGATGTGTTTTTCATTTGCTTATGTTCGTTTTAAGATTTAAAATTTGCCTGATGAGGACTTAATTAAGTCGAAACTTGTAGCAATTTATAGCAATTTATTTGTAATAAACGAACATCTTTAAAACCGTAAAAGGCCTCTAAATATTATTATCAATAATTATTATTATTATTATTTTTTGTTATTATTTATTATTATTTATCATTATTTATTTTTAGGGTTCCGTACACCATAGGTGTACTGACGGAACCCTTATAAAATCACTCGTGTGTCCGTCCCAGCTACGCAAAATGGGCAGTCCCCCCCCCTTAACTTTTACAAATCTCAACCTAGTGAGCTGAAATTCGGTAGGGATCTTCAGTTTTAAGTGCAGATTACAGGAAAAATATAGCGAACCCAATTGACGGACATATTTGCGAACTAGGAGGGAAAGTAATTGAATTTTTTAGAAAAAATTACAAAAAATGACCCTGTCCCCCCTCCTTAACTTTTACAAATCTCAACATTATGAGCTAAAATTCGGTAGGGATCTTAAGTTTCAAGTGTAGATTACAGGAAAAATATAGCGAACCCGATTGACGGACATATTTGCGAACTAGGAGGGAAAGAAATTCAATTTTTTTGAAAAAATTACAAAAAATGACCCTGTTCCTGCGGTTAACTTTTACAAATCTCAACCTGGTGAGTTGAAATTCGGTAGGGATCTTAAGTTTTAAGTGTAGATTACAGGAAAAATATAGCGAACCCGATTGACAAACATATTTGCAAAATAGGAGGGAAAGAAATTCAATTTTTTCGAAAAAAATGCTAAAAATGACCCTGTTCCTGCGGTTAACTTTTACAAATCTCAACATTATGAGCTAAAATTCGGTAGGGATCTTAAGTTTCAAGTGTAGATTACAGGAAAAATATAGCGAACCCGATTGACGGACATATTTGCGAATTAGGAGGGAATTGGTTACCTCCACGTGGTGCATCTTGGAAACAATATC